CGTAAAACCCTGTTCCCATAGTCCGATCATGATGGTTCGAGAAATCATTCAATTTTATCCCGCTTTACACCTTCACACAAAATTTTGTCAAAATCAAACAAAAATTACTCAAGGCTACTTCCCCATAGGGAAATTCACTAAAATGTGTTACTTTATTTTTTATACTTTTATTTACTAATTTAAAACTTATTTATTTTGACATATTGTAACTAATAATTAGCATTTTTCACCAAGTATCCTTTTGGTTTGCTGTTATAAGGAAAACTGTTAATACAAATTGTAGAGAATAAAATCTTCTTTCAAATACACTAAAAGGGTTTACCTAAATATTTTAACCATCCTACTCAAGAACCAATAGAAGCGTTCGATACATTTTCGCTCAGACGCTCGACGGCCTGGCAGTTTTCGTCACATTTCCCTTAAAGCTCCAAAGTTTTGTTTGAAAGTTGTGGATATAGTAGACTGGATCATTCACTAGTTAATATTACCACTAGATTAACAGGTCGTCAAATTATCTTCAGTAACTGGTAGTGTATTACCGCACCCAAATCCTGCACAGAGTCCGCACATATGAGAATAAGATAAAGAGCTTCTTCGGCACAATCAATACTTCTAGCAATTGCCTTTTCAGGTGCAGAATATAAGATTAAGTAGATTTTGATGAGCAGGTTGTTGAAGAGTTGTTACAGGTATTAGACCCTGACTAGCACTTAGCTTCCGGCCCCAGTCCGTAGCTGGGGGATTAACACCTTTCCACTGCTGAATTTGATGATAAGCCCTCAGGGTGTATTGGAGGGCTGCTGCTTTGGTTGGGGGAATAGAGGCGAGGTTGAAATTTGCACTAAGTCTCTGCTTTGCTATCGTTCTTATGTACATGCGGTGCCTTGCAATGTTAAGGTCAGTTACTTCTCTACTAATACCATATATTTTAAGAAAGAATTACTCCCCAGCTGCTGCAATCTTGAGGACATTTATCTTCATTGAATAGGCTATACTGACGGATTGACGGATTCCCGAAATCCTGCTTCGTTTCGGAGCTTCTTCTACGCTGCTTTCTTTACTTTGCTGAATATGGCATAGGTTGTACCGCAACCTGCGTGAATGCGTGTAGCAGGAAAAGAAAATGTTGTAACTCACCTAAACCTTCTTGCAGTTTCCTAATATTAAAAATGCGATGAGGTTTGTTTCCTTTTGGCAGGAATGAGCATGAATACGTTGCATCGAGTGAGAGTAATCAACAATACAAGAAGGTCTCTTTCTTGTACCACTAGTACCAAAGTCTTGGTTGGGGAAATATGCAGAGCTGTTGAAACAATGAGAGTGTCTGCGTTAGATGTAGCTTGTGAAACCTGGCATCCCACGTTTGTGAGGTGTACAGTTAATAGTGCAATAAATCTTGATTTGTTGGTGGGTTTAGCAGGGAACTCTTTTTGAAATGTTGGTATTACTAAATCCAATTTCACCTATTGGGTCTAATGATGATTGGAGTGTCCAATCGAAATCGATCACCACTTACCATCTTTTGTATATTTACCGTCTTTTGAGTAACAGTATAAGCGTAAATATATGTTTCAAGTGTTATAAGACGTATCTTTATTTACTTTCCGTATTACTAAATCATCAGTCGTTATCAGTCCGCCAAGGAGGAAAGGTCGATGCGGTAAACGCCCGTGTTCGTGCAAGCCCACCGGTCTGCCCGTGTAATCCTGCCTCCTATCACGTTAAAGGACTTTTATGTGCAGTTTGTGTTAAATAATTACCCTATACATGCTTTGTTTGTGTCAAAACCTATAGTGAACTGTTTTGTTATCTATTTCGTGCGGGAAATCTATTCTTTCTTTTAGTTTTTATTTTTTATTAGGACCTTGCTGTTTTCACCTAATCCAAAATGGACTGTTCTAAGTGTGGACGTGATGTTGCAAATTCAAAAAACACTGTGAAGTGCGTGGAGTGCTCCTCGACCTTCCATGTTACGTGTAGTCGTATACGAACTGTGGCAAAGTTATCGGCCATGTCGCCGCAGGCTCTGGCCACGTGGAAGTGCGACGGCTGCGGCCAGGAGACTGCGTCTGCTGCGAGTGGTAAGTCAGACTCTGAGGACAATAAGATATGTGATATTCTCCGAGCTATACAACGGGATATGGCTGCGAATCAGGATTCAAGCAACCAGAATTTTAATACCGTTAATCAGCAGTTGAACAATATGAATCAAACCCTGAATGAGCTTAAGGATAAAATTTTAGTAGTAGAGAGGGAGAATGCGTCTCTAAAACAGGATTTAGGACATTTAAAGGAAGAAAATGTTTTCCTTCGAGATAAAGCTATCAGTCTCGAAATGGAGATCGAGGACCTCAAGCAGTACTCTAGAAACCGAAACATTGAAATAAGGGGCATCCCCCTTACTAAGAATGAAAATGTTTATTTAATAATGGAAAGCATAGCAAGAGCCTTAGGAATAACTTTCAATAGAGGTGACATCTCAATCGCCCATCGTCTGCCCGCACCTAGGAAGAAATCATTTCCCCCCTCAATCGTCGCCCAATTCGTGTCCAGATCGACTAGAGCTGAGTGGATGGAGGCCGCCAGAGATAACCCGATCCAAACGACAGATGTTGCAGCATCTCTTCGACCATCTCCAGTCCTGCTCATCGACCATCTTACACCTCGGAATCGTCGACTCCTGGGATATGCTAAAACTATTGTCAAAGAAGGTCGTCTCGCCTACGCCTGGTCAAAGGAGGGGAAGATCAAGATTAGGAAGACACCAGATGGACCTGTCAAGACAATCAGGGACAACAGTGAAGTGGACGAGTTCGCAGGTCCAGCTGTTGGCGGAGGCGTCGATACCGTGGTCAGCGGCAACGGAGGAACCAACAGCGACAACGGAGGAACCAACAGCGGCAACGGAGGAAACAACAGCGGCAACGGAGGAACCAACAGCAGCTAGGAACCCGGAGCAGTTGATATCAACACAGTATGGATTTAGCCTCTTAGGTATTATTTTTAATATTTTTATAATGTTACTTTTCGTTTTTACTAGCTTATGTAAACCACCATTAGTAGTTACTAGTAGCCTACGTTAGGTAACTAATACACATTTCTTCTCATTTTAATTCACAACAATTCTGTTTTAATATGTTCAATCTAAGCACTGTACTACTAGTCACGTAATCTTATCACCATGATCATTGTTTTTAATCTTTCTCTGTAGCCACTTCTTTTAAATCTGAATTAGTGTTAAATTTGTCTATTCGTTTAAGCTCACCAACTTAACTAAAGTTATTTAATTTCAATTCATGTGTTAATAATAAAACGTTTTGCTTTGGAGGGAATAAATCTACTAATTTCTGTAGCACCAAGAATACTACACTTAATACTCTTTTTTTACAGTTGTATTCACCTATAGATAATAAAGTGTACCATTCCAGTGAGTAGTGGGCATAGGTAAAAACACAGTTTCAAATTCACGTAGCAAATATTTTTAGTTGGGGTACAATCTTTGAAACTAAACACAAATATAGAGAATAAGTTTTTGGCATTTTTTGCAAGTAAATTCTTTTTAGTTGTTTTCACAAGTATGTCATTTTTATTTTCATTTTTTTTTTGTTTTTTGTGCCATACAGAATGCACCATGTGTATTTTCAGGAATATGTTTTACATCAATTTAGAGCGTGTTTCTCTGTACTTGTGATTTTTGTAAATACTAATCATTTAAAATAAGAGTAGGATTCTAATTAATCTTTGTTTTATCTGAAGTTTCTATGGGCTCTCAGGTGGGTTTGTCTCTTTTAATGGAGGAAATCTTTGACGACATAATATCTTATCAAAATGTGAATGCACACATATACGAAGACATATCGACATTTAATTTTTTCAGTGAGTTTAATGCAGATATTAAAAATAGTTTAACGATTCTTAGTCTAAATATTAGAAGTTATAGAAAAAATATAGACGAGCTGATTATTATTTTAGATAGTTATGTATATCATTTTGATATAATTGTTTTAACTGAGACTTGGGTGGATGAATCTAGTGCGAATGTGAGTATGGATGGTTATAACGTGTTTATGAACAAAGAGAGTAGAAATCGTAATGATGGTGTGATTGTATTCGTGAAAAAGTGTTTTTCTGTGTGCATGGAGGAGGTTGGTATGTTTGGAGCGACGTGTGTTAAAGTAGATGTATCGTTTGGCGGTGCGTGGATTTCGCTGCTATCGGTGTACAGGAGTCCGTCTAGTGATCTATCTCTCTTTATTGACGACCTTGAAGCCTACTTAGATAATAGACCCAGGGATAGGACACACTGGCTGGTCGGCGACATTAACTGCTGCATTTTACCAAATAAAGTAGACAATCTCTCACAACGCTACTTGGATGTTTTATATGGTTCAGGTTTTATTAGTTGTATAAATTTGCCAACCAGAGTTACAGAAGATACAGAAAGCTGTCTGGATCATTTTTTCACCGACTGTAAAAACACTAACTCCATTAAATCCACAATCATTAAATGTGCTCTAACGGACCATTTTTTCACGGTTGCACAATTACAAGGTCCGAAAGATATCTCAGATGCCACTCCAATTTTACAAGCCAAAACAGAGAAAACGTGTTTGGATTTTTCTATTGCAAACCGCCTTATCTCTGATGCGGACTGGTCTGTTATCACGGATGTAAACGACGTTAATGATAGTTGTAATCTTTTTGTTAATAAGTTACAAGAAATTATTTCATTATCTACTACAAGGAAAACAATTTCATCAAAGGAGTTTAAAATAAAACCTTGGATTACGTCTGGTATTGTCAGATCGATCCGTGTCAGAGATGGGATGAGTAGACGTTTAAAAAATCAACCCTTTAATGCAGTCTTAAAACTACGTTTTAAAAAATACAGAAACGCCCTTAGTAAGATTATTGCTTCTGCTAAACTTCTTTATTATCGCAGGAAATTAAATGAATCTCGGAACGACAACAAAAAATTATGGAAGAATATAACTGAAATCATGGGTACAAAAAAGATTAAGGAGGATTTCCCTATCAACCAGTTTCTAGGTAAAAGGATTTGTATAGGTACAGATGATATTATAGAAGCTGCGAATACTTTTAACGAATATTACGTCAATGTAGGAGCCGACTTAGCCAGTTCTGTCCCCCCTGTGTCTGAACCTATCGTGAGAGATGAGGATTACCGGACGGACTCTACCTTCCAGCTGACGCCTATTTCAGAGATAGATTTAGTAAAATTGGTCAATAATATGAAAGGTGGCTCTGCCCCAGGTGTAGATGGAATTCCAACTAAATTAATCAAGCTAAACATAAATATACTTAAATCGCCAATTCTTTATATTATAAACATGAGTTTGACATCTGGGGTTTTCCCAGATTTTTTCGAACTAGGGAAAGTAATTCCAATCTACAAGAGTGGACAGAAAAACCAATGTGTGAGTTTCAGACCAATTACATTAACAAGTGTGTTGTCTAAATTATTAGAAAAGTGCGTTAGGGAGCAGCTAGAAAATTATTTGATGGTTAACAACATTTTATTTGAAAACCAATTTGGCTTTAGGAAGGATAAAAATTTAAATGATGACCTTTTTCTACTCACTAAAAATATTCATGACGCAGTTGGGAGAAATAAGAAACCTCTTTTAGTCTTTATAGATTTGGCCAAAGCTTTCGATACAGTTGACAGGGAAATTTTACTGAACAAATTGAGCTTAATAGGCGTCCGTGGGGTTGCACTGGAGTGGTTTAGGAGTTATTTTAGTAATCGATTTCAAGTTGTGTCAATTTTGGGCCACTCCAGTGTACCTCAACTGATTGAATTTGGGGTTTTCCAAGGAAGTTCGCTTGGGCCTCTATTGTTCCTCGTTTATATAAACTAGTGGTCGTCCTGTGGTCGAAACTCGACCAAAAATAATTAATGTACAGACTTCTCTATTTTCTCCCCACACTGTAAATAAAACATGTGATTGGGATTTCTTCCATTTGTTTTGATTTTCTGTTTACATTTGGTTGTTATTTCGTCACCATCATGGCAACCCAGTTGTTCCATGTAAATTTTTTGAAGTTTTCAAATTCGTTTTTTGTGCTTATTTTTTAGCCTACTTTAATTTATAAAGGGATTCTGCACATCTACAGGCAAATATCTTTCTAACAGTATGCATAGATTTCCCCTGCGATGCACACGAGCTGAGAAAAAGGGTTTTAAAGAAACATGCTTGCCTATTAATATTAATATAATCTAGGTAGGGTCTTATTGGATGGTGGAAAACTTTTCCTTTACGCCGACGATTCCGTTTTACTTTTTGAAGGCGACAGCTGGGAGCAAGTGTACCGTGTGGCTGAGCGGGGCCTTCGCGCTGTCAAGCAGTGGTTCGACCAGAGTCGGCTCTCAGTCAATATTTCCAAAACCAAATATATGCCAGTGTCTGTGAGAGCCGACCACGACCCGGTCGGCCTGCATCTGCGTTTGCACACGTGCGGAAGTGCGAGGCTGTATGAATGCGTGATGTGTGAGTGCATTGAGAGAGTATCTGAATATAAATATCTGGGTATCATCTTTGACAACCGCTTAAAATGGAATTGCCATATTACTTATGTAAGAAGTAAGCTGCGTAAAGTATCTTTTATCTTTTCACGCATCAACAGGATACTTCCCCCCGACTTGATTAGAACTGTGTATTATGCTTATGTACAATCTCTATTGCAATATGGAATCTTAGCTTGGGGTGGTTGTTATCAAAATGTTTTATCGCCACTTGAAACAATTCAAAAATCTATTATCAAGATAGCACTAAAAAAAAATCGCCGTTATCCCTCAAATATTTTGTTCAACGAATTCAAAGTTCTTAATATACCCCAACTCTTTATAAAAAATATAATTCTGTATATTCATAAAAATGAAACGTTCTTGTTCCAACATATTACACATCAATACCATACTAGATCAACAACTAATCATGGAATTATTACTCCTAGATTAACAAAATCAATAAACAGCACTTCGTCTTTTTATCTTGCAAACATAATTTATTCCCAACTTCCACTAATTATTAAATCCCCCCCTCCTTGCAGTCTACGTACATACAAAAAAATTATTGACAAATGGTTACTAGAAGTTGGCCGTCACAGAATAAGAAACTATTTCACCTCCATTTACATATAGATACTACTATCATTTCATCAACAACTGCAGTATATCTATGCCGTTGCGTGCGTGTATGTTTGTGTGTGTTGTGTGTGTGTGCGTGAGTTTGAGGTGGGTGTGTGTGTGGTGTGCCAGGGGTACCCCGCTAGGCTGGACCACAGGGACAGTGCAGTGACGGCTTTTTTTAAAAAGAGCTACCAGCCGCCTGTGGGTCCCGGGGCGGGTACTATGGAAGGTAGTGGCTGTGAATGTATGTTGTGGTGAGTGTGGTTCTTTTGTGAGTTTGTGTAGGTATGAGTGGTCTGTGTGAATGTGTTAGGGCTATGTGAGTAGAATGTATGTGCCAAGTCTCAGGCATTTCAAATTATGTGTTATTTCTAATGGTAATCTATATATATAAAAGGCTTTTCCTATATTTTAACGTGCAAACTGAACGTGTGATATATGTGTGCATTAATTTTTCATACACTGAATCGTTTTGTATATATTTACCTCGTAAACTAGTTTTTTTATTATTTATCTTTTCTTGTAATCAAAATTATGTGTACAATGTATATTATTTTCCCTTTTTAAAAGTAGCCTAAATTTATTGTTTTATTGTGCGGATGATGGACTCAATCCCCAACCACAGGCATTAGCCCATTTGGGGATTACATTTCAGGAATTGTGTTTGTACCATTGTAAATGATGTACTGTAATGAAATAAAAAGGATTCATTCATTCATTCATTCATTCATTCATTCATTCATTCATTCATCCACATTTTTCTCATTTTTGACCCTCAAAACTCAAAATTTCCCAATTTTCTCTCTAGGCATTTTTAAAGAGCTTAAAAAAACAAATAATTTAGTATGTCAAAGTGTTTTTGTACGGTTAATGGTTATGGAGAAAATTAAAAAAAACTGCAAATTTAAAATTTCCTATGTTATTCCTATGGAGAATATATTAAAATGTTGTAGTTTGCTTGTTTATGGAAATATATTGATTAAACATGGAAAATTTATCCATTTTATATTAATCTACTAATATTTTACTAAAAACACATTTTATTAGGCTACCTGTAATATCAAACTTAGGTACTCGTTAAACCTAATATTATTTAAATAGATTTCATTTAAAATAAATTCAGGCAAATGTAAATTCGCTTAGTCTGCAGGTTTGCTGTGGCGGGGGTATGTTTATATTTAATATCTAGCCTGGAATTTACAAGACATTTTTATGCAAACAGGAGGTTTTTAAGTCAATTAGTTTACTAGTAACACCCATTCCTGTAAAGGCTTGCATAAATCCAACATGGCCGACTTATTTTTTCAAAATGGCGGAAAAGTCCCCATGGGATTTTCTGGGACTTTCTTATGTGGGTTCAGGAGACCTTAATAAATTATTTCCAACAGGTTTCAACTTTTTTTTTGAATTTCCTTACCCAAATGCTAATTGCACTGGACTATAAGGTTAACATGGGAAACTCCAGAGCCACTGGGGCGGAGCCCGAGAGTCCGATCAGAATAAAAACAGCTTAGTTTTCCTATTTAATGCCTAAAGAATCGGTGTACCAAATTTCAGCCTCCTAGGTAAATGGCAAGTGGGAGAATTAGTGATGAGTGAGTGAGTGAGTGAGTCAGTGAGGGCTTTGCCTTTTATATGTATAGATTCAATTGTTTCATTCGATATATCGTTTGGTTAGTTAGGTTAGGTTAACCTTCAGAATCAGAATCAGAATCAGAATCAGAATCAGAAAAGCTTTATTCAAGATTTATACATTATATACCTACATGAAATATATGCATAAATACAGAATGGCGTCAAAACAGCTTATTACTAATTAAAAATACTTTGTTAAACTAAATAAAACAGGAAAATTTAATTAATGTAATTACATGTTGTAAAACTCTTCAAATGAGTAAAATGCTCTATCAATTAGTAACAATTTAAGTTTTTTTTTAAAAGACCTAATGTTTTTTATATCAAATATTTCTTTTGGTAGATGGTACAAAAACCTAATACCTGCAGCTGTTGGTTTCTTGTTATAAAACTCCAGTTTGTGTTGTGTTACGGATGGATAATTTTTATGCCTAGTATTATATCTATGATTATCCCCCAGCAGTGGCACCTTGTCTTCAAAAGCCCTCACATGCATAATAGTGTGCAATATATATGAGCTGTAAACGGTTAGAATTTTTAATTTAGGAAAATATTTTTTGGCCGATTCTTCATCATCCAGATTTAACATGATTCTTATTGCCCTTTTTTGAAGGATTAGAATACTTTGTAAATTTTGATTACTTGTAGCTCCATATAACTCAATACCAAATGTAATGTGTGAGTTGATATGTGCATGGTAAACCTTAAGCAATATCTCAAGGGAACAAAATTTTGACAGATTTCTTAAGGCAAATAAACCCGAGGAAATTTTATGTAACAATTTATCCGTATGGAGTGACCATGATAAATTTTCATCAAGCAATAAACCCAAAAATCTTGTTACCTTTACCTGAGTAATTTGGAGATCATTTACTTTAATACAGAATTCTGGATTTTTCTTTTGTGCTGTACTGAATGACATAAAATTGGTTTTATTAAAATTGAGAAATAATTTATTGAAGTTTAAGTAGTTTTTTATAGATAACAGATTGTTTTGGGCCGACTCTTGTATTTTATTAAAACATTTACCAGAAACCAACAAATTTGCATCATCAGCATATAGACACAATTTTGCCATATTATCTGTTAATGCTGTTGGCAGACCTTTAATATAACAAAGAAATAAAATGGGACCAAGAATCGAACCTTGAGGTACACCATATTTGATACACCTCAAAGAGGATTTTACATTTCTTAATTGGTTGAAGTTATTTATATGATTAATTTCCACATATTGTAATCTGTTTTCAAGGTAAGATTGAAACCAATTTAAAGCATTGTTAGCAAAACCAAAATTTTTTAAAATTGAAATTAATGTTGAATGGCAGACACTATCAAAGGCTTTACTAATATCCATAAACACCCCGACAGTGCTCTCACCCTTATCAATAGCATCAATTATAGTTTCTATCAAATCAATTGTTGCAGTGACAACAGATTTACCGGGCCTGAATCCATGTTGCTCAGTATCAAATAAGATATTATTTTCTAAGAAATTCATTAATCGTGAATGAACCTTACCTAACTAATTAAACGATATATCGAATAATCGATATATTGATCAATATTTTCATTCGGTTGTTTGTGCCAACAGATACGGAAGTCTACACAGGTATCATACATGTACCATCATACAAAAGTTCAGGTAAGCTAGTTGAACTGGTTTAAAAGTGTAAAGATTAGGCCCACATATAATTGTTACCGTACAACTCCAACACACCAGGGGTCCTATTTTTCAAATGGTTGACTGTTGAGTTAAGTGTTGAGTCACTCACATTCCAATCGTTTTGTTTTTTTTGTAAATCATTGGAAAACAAGTCACTCAACTAGTGACTACCAACTCACTTCTCGACTGTTGGATTTCAAAAATACGAAATCCTGTTTGTTGAGTTGAGTGTTGACGATTGACTCAACTCTTTAACCAATTAAAAAATAGGGCCCCAGGTGCGTATTCCAAGGTAAAGATGAGTGAATGATAATTGTTGAATGAATAAGATGACAGCTTTGTTTCTGAAAAAGATCAGATAACAGATTACCAGGATCATATACTAAAGCTCGGGTCCAGTTTAAAAAAAAAAAACTTCTGACTTTTCAAGGTCGATCAGGCGACCTTTTGGTTACCAGGCAAGCATTATAACCACTTAGCTACCCTGTACAGATAGGTATATCTGTTTCAAAATTGTTTATGTGTTCTTAGATGACACCACAATAAGTTGATCCTTTTGCTAACCTGACAATGGCGGAGCTCTAATAACTGTGATGCTTGTTTTGACAGTGTTGTGTTTGCAAACAAAACCTGTCAGCATCATAGTTTTTTATGTATTTTTTGACTATAGATGGTTGTAAGAAAAGCCAAATCTATACTTAAGTATTTAATACGCAAGCAGGTTTTTTGTGACAATTACTCCTCCGAAACTACTAAACCGATTAGATGTTTTTGGTGTCATTGGAAAGAGCATAACGTGTTCGAAGTTGTGCAGGAAACTTTCTTTTTAGGGAAATAATTAGAGAGTGAGGCCCTGGGGGGTTAATGAGCTATTCAAGCCCCACGTTGGGCGCCAATTTGTAAACTCACCTTAAAATACTCATTTTAGGCTAGGCCTATTCTACAAATGTTTAACGTTAATAAGTTAACAAAGATATGGATTACAAAATGTGTTTTATTTAAACAAATGAACAATTAACATGCAATGAGAAAAGGCTTGACGTTACAATGAAAGGATTGACAATGGTGTATGGGGTTGAAATTAAATTGAAATAAAAAATAAATTTGAATAATAACTTAAAGGTTCAAATAATTTAGATGTGATATCTCTCAGGGTAGGGTGTCGTGCTGGCTTGAATGCTGATAATTAATAAATTTAATAGTGTCCAAATAGGCCTAATTAAAGTGTTCAATTTACACAATCTCAACAATGGAAAATCTAATTTTGGTGTTGTCCAAAAGGTAAGTCCAATTAGTACAAAATTTAAAAGAGTTTAAAGAAAAGGTTATACTTAATTTTGAAGATAATGATTGAGTTGTGTCCTCTTGAGGTTTAGGCTAAAAAAAACTGTGATATAACTTGAAACTGGTCTTCTTGATGAATGAATTTGATTTAGGTAAAATTTTGAGTCCTTCTTCTAACAATTTCAACTTCTCAATGGCTTCCTTCTCTCTCAATTTCAATGTTCACATCACTGATTGTTGAACACATGGGATCACTTTCACTGCTTCTTAAATTTTGATTCCTTAAGGACTAATTTTGAAATGATATTATAAGAAATTTTGATGTATTGCAATTCTCTTACATATTTAATAAATAATTAGGTTGTGAGCGTTGTAAAAAAAATATATATAGGCTATGAAATGAATATTATTAATGATTAATTGAACATATTAATGAAATTATATAAATTAGGAAAATAAATATTAGGACAGTCTTTCTGAGGAGTGATTATTAGGTGTATGAATAGAAGTTAACATAAAAAAAATTAATACTAAATAATGAATGAAATGAAATGAAATATTACAATTTATCTCCTCAGAAATTTGTATGATATGGAATGAAGGACAAATTTCGAACGAATATGAAATGGAATTCATGAATCATTTAGTATGAATTATATTTAAAGCTAGTTATGGGTCACATTAAATGATTGATATTTTTGGATGATGATGATTAGAAACTTCTTAATCTAAATTTACATAAACACAGGAACAAACATAAATGGGGGAATTATTGAGGGTTAAGATAGTTCATGACCTGACACAGGGGAATAGCAATAGAAGCAATGTTAAGGATATGTTCTCACAGTTTTCACTTGGGAAATGGGGAAAAGGGTACACGCACTCGCGATTAAGGTTCATGACGATCTCCTCCATAATTTATGACACTTGATTAATATGGATTGAATAAGATTTATTTACACAATGTTTTGAGAGTTTATGTTACCGATCTTCACTATTTTCTATCTCCTCTTCTACGATCATTTTGAAGCAGATATGTGATAAGGTCTGAATAAGATATCTTCATTCTTCAGAGAAAACGTTTTTGCATTTTATTTAATAGTTTGATGTGTTTGGTGATATGTATTAATCTCCTCAAATGTCAATGTGCTGTCCTTTAGTGGATTTCTTTGTTGATCACTGAAGTTGTTTCTTGTGCTATCATACTCATTATATATTATATTATTATGGTACTTATTGTACATCATATTATCAAAATTATCATTTATATTATTATTTGGCCTATGGCTATTATTATTAACTACTGTTTGACATATTTGTCCTTCATGATGACACAAATTAAACTTCACTGTAACATTATTATTGTTGATTTGCATATTGATTTCATTCGTATTAACATTCAAATCCATTTTAAGGGCAGATAGTACATAGACTCCAAGGATGACTGGCTTTATTAAGTTTGAAACTATTAAATATCTTATTATTCATCTTCTAAGAGAAAGTTGTTTTTATCACATACGTATTTCGACACTGTACTTAATGAAGAATCGGTTGGCAACATAACTCTTTCTCGGCCGTAGCCTACATCGACGAGTGGTTTTCCGACCTCTGTGGAGATTGAGGAAAACAAGAACTTGAATGGTGGCTGTTTAATTGTGGATCCATGGGTGCAGCAGTAGGGGCAATAGACAAGTTGGGATTTTGCCTAAACATCGCACATATTTGGTTTTGTTCCTTAGTAGGATGATTCCGATTATAATTATAGTTTTGGCCATAGTTCCGGTCTGGGTAGTGGTCACGCTGATATGGTTTGTAGTCTCGGTGCACCCGTTGGTACTGTTGGGACTCATTACCATTGTTTTTGTTGTATCGGTAATTTTGTTGATTTCTATAATGTTGGTTGTTCTGTGCATAGTTATCGCTGTGTTGGAAGTTCTGGCGGTTCATCTTAGGCACGTAAGCTTGTTGGTTAGATCTATCATGGTAACGTTGTGGGTTCTGTATGTTAGGGCTAGACGGTCTGCTATTCTGATGACTGTTGTTGTAGCTCTTAACTTTCTTCGGTCCGTCTCGAATGTCATCCTTCTGTAGAAGTCGTTCCATGGCTCTTATTGTGGTGATATTTTGCACATTAACACTATCCTGGATGATTGGATCGAATCGCTCTGCCAATAATGATACGATCTCCTCTTCACTTAAACTAGGGGAGATGGATTGCAATAAAAGTACTCGTTCTGTTAAATATTCCGTACGGCTCAAGGTTCCATTAGCTCGATATTTTTCAGACTCAATCTTGGCTTTTATTCCTCTTTGGATGGCTTGACTCCAATATTTGCACTCAAATTCCTTAACAAAATGATCCCAATCAAGAATGTCTGATCTGATTAGTTGCAACCATCGGGATGCGGGTCCTTCAAATGACGTTTCCAATAGGTCTTTAAGGTATTCAGTTTGATTGCAGTTCATATTCCTTTCGACCCCTCTCTCGTAATATCGCTTAAGTTTGCGCAGATATTCCATTGGGTTACCGCTTCGTCCATTAAATTTCGGCAATTGACGATCATTGTTCTCATTACAGCTACAGATTACTTGAATCGCACCTGCTTGTCCATTTATTGGGTTAGCTTGCTTTAAGTTGTTTACTTCAGACTCACATTTGATTAAATTTTGGTTGAGAGTTTGAATTTCAAGCTGTTGTGTTTCAATTAATCTAGTTTGTAGGGTGATTTTAGGCAATACTTCATTTTGTAGGGCAATTAAATTTATGTTTGAGTTACGCTCATTGTCAAGTTGTGTTTTAACTGTGATTTCTTCTATTTTCTGCTCAAAATTAGATTTATGTTCTTCTAACTGTGATTTTACTGTAGAGATTATTTGTTCTTGGAATTTGTTCTGCTCTATTTCTGAATTAGATTGTTGTTTTGATATGCTATTAACAACAAATTGCTTCAACTGATTTTGAGAGTCTTCGATTTTTAACATTAGCCGATCGTTTAATTTAGCTGTTTCTTCAGTTAAAATACTTTGTGTTAATTTTATGGCATTTATTTCTGACTTTATTTCAATTTGACTTTCTCTAGTTTCACGTATTTGTGATTCAAATGCGTTTCTACAAGCTTGGATTTCTTGGTAGGTTTCGTTTATTTTATTGTTAAATGTTTGAATTAGTTTAGCTTCAGTTTGATTAATCTGCAGTTTTGTTATTTCTTGGATTTCTGATTTAGTTTCACGGATTTCTGACTTTAATTCAGCAGTTATTTCTTGGATTTCGTTTTTAGTTTCACAGATTTCTGACTTTAATTCAGCAGTTATTTCTTGGATTTCGTTTTTAGTTTCACGGATTTCTGACTTTAATTCTGACTTTAGTTCAGCACTGGTTTGTTCAAACTTATTACTCAAGTTGGTCATAAGGTTAACTAACATGTTCATATCGATTGTGGGTGTCTGTACTGGAGGATTTGTGACGTTTAATTCATCAGTTGAAGTGTCGGAATGAGTAAGGAGCTCGTGATTCACATTATGAACGGACTGAGACTGTGTTTGAATTATATCAGCTGTTCGACGGCTGTCTGCAATATCGTATATCACATCTGTCGAGGTTCGGGAAACGTCGTTTAAGTCCGGCTGCATTCGGCACGACGGCACATTTGTGTTTTTGGTCGGTGGCGTTTCGGCTAGAGGCAGTTCGGGTGGCGGAACAAAACCGGTTAAAGTCGAATGATCAACGCTGTCTGATTGGTCAATGGATCCGGTGAACGGTTGGTGGTCGTTGCAACTTGAGGCTTCTTCTCGGGTTTGTTGTTGTTCTGCTCGTTGCTCAAAATGGCTGCCGTGTGTTCTGTCATTTATGTCATCGTCGGCGTCGTCACTTGAACTCGACATTCTATTCAGAGACGGGTAGTTTCGTTTAGGCCGTAAATTATATTTATTTTCCGACATTTTAATGTAAAATGTGTTAGGTCATGCGTGGTTATTAAATATGCGATGTTGTTGTGTTGATTATTTTGGGAAACAGGGGCAATTACGGGACAAATTAACAATGCAAACTCTTAAATCTAACAAACTTATAGGCTAGTTATGGTGAGAATTGCAATAAAGTTAATGAGCTATTCAAGCCCCACGTTGGGCGCCAATTTGTAAACTCACCTTAAAATATTCATTTTAGGCTAGGCCTATTCTACAAATGTTTAAAGTTAATAAGTTAACAAAGATATGGATTACAAAATGTGTTTTATTTAAACAAATGAACAATTAACATGCAATGAGAAAAGGCTTGACGTTACAATGAAAGGATTGACAATGGTGTATGGGGTTGAAATTAAATTGAAATAAAAAATAAATTTGAATAATAACTTAAAGGTTCAAATAATTTAGATGTGATATCTCTCAGGGTAGGGTGTCGTGCTGGCTTGAATGCTGATAATTAATAAATTTAATAGTGTCCAAATAGGCCTAATTAAAGTGTTCAATTTACACAATCTCAACAATGGAAAATCTAATTTTGGTGTTGTCCAAAAGGTAAGTCCAATTAGTACAAAATTTAAAAGAGTTTAAAGAAAAGGTTATACTTAATTTTGAAGATAATGATTGAGTTGTGTCCTCTTGAGGTTTAGGCTAAAAAAAACTGTGATATAACTTGAAACTGGTCTTCTTGATGAATGAATTTGATTTAGGTAAAATTTTAAGTCCTTCTTCTAACAATTTCAACTTCTCAATGGCTTCCTTCTCTCTCAATTTCAATGTTCACATCACTGATTGTTGAACACATGGGATCACTTTCACTGCTTCTTAAATTTTGATTCCTTAAGGACTAATTTTGAAATGATATTATAAGAAATTTTGATGTATTGCAATTCTCTTACATATTTAATAAATAATTAGGTTGTGGGCGTTGTAAAAAAAAAATATATAGGCTATGAAATGAATATTATTAATGATTAATTGAACATATTAATGAAATTATATAAATTAGGAAAATAAATATTAGGACAGTCTTTCTGAGGAGTGATTATTAGGTGTATGAATAGAAGTTAACATAAAAAAAATTAATACTAAATAATGAATGAAATGAAATGAAATATTACATGCCTGTAATACTTAGCAATTGTTTGAATTCGAGCAACAGGGACAATTGTTTGAATTAGAGCAACAGGGACACTAGTTAACTTCAATAACCTCTGAAACATATGTAGCAAGTTTTACTATACGCTCCCCACATCTTAAGTCTGAGAAAGTATGTTTAGAAGTTTATTCTTATGTTATAGAAACTACCTTATTAACGATGACTCCGAGTGAAGGATTCTTTCTCAAGGTGAGGAACAAGCTTGATGACCTCGGGTATCTCCAGCCACTCTCCTTTGAGTCTGTCATGCTAGTAGATAAGCTTCTTTGTGACCTTCTGGAAACCAAGAAAAATCTTCAGCATTACAAAAATGTTGCTCAGCAAAGCATGGAGGTATATAACAGTGTCCAGCTGTTTCAGCTGATTTTAATCCAAACATTATGATATTGATTCAAAACACAGCTCAACCAAACACTATTTATTTATTTATAATTAAGTCAAATATGGCTATAGGTTAAATATAACCTTGTTGCCGATATTTTAAAATTTTGAAATTGAATTTAGCTGTGTATTTAACAAATAAAGTAAGATCAAGCTTTTTTGTCACTGAAGGGAATTATTGAGAGGTTTTTGTAAATTGTTATTTCAGTAGCAATATTTTAAGCTACGATTAATCTACAATCACTAAAGCTATTGAACATACAATTATAAAATTTGTGGGTGAATATTTAAATTTATTGCTGTGAAAAAATGGACAAAAGAAGGCAAGTAACATGTAATAAAGTGTTATGCCTACTAGTAGAACTCAATAATATTTTAATTTCATAAATAATGTTATTGCTGTATTTATTTGCTCTCTAAAAATCTGTTTGAAGCAGTAATTTAGTTTTGACAAAAGTGTTTCTTAAATAATTGTGCCCCTTTTTTATGTATTTTTAGTCATATTTTTCTAGTTTAATAATATTCAAAGTCCTTTTAGAGACAATTTGTTTTTGTATTGTTTTAAATCTGTTTTAAAGGCTTGTAGTGAATTGAGGGTGGGTGTTGGTCCTTATAAAGAAGACAACACAAGGCTAATAAAAGAAAACAACGATCTACGTCAGAAGCTATTGAAAGCCAGAGAATCTATTGAAGATACCAGAGTTGGTAAGTTGCATAGTCTAACTACCAAATAACAATTGTGTTGAGTTATGACAGGAGACATAAATGACTTCTCTCTACAACAATGTTAGTTTTAAAGGCAAAATTACCACCACAACTGTCCTGAGATCGATTTTTAAGAAGAGAATGTCCTCATGATATTAGTACTGTAACTACAACTTTTATAAAAATCAATAACCAAGCAAAGAATTTAATATTTTGAGAAATGATAAAAGTTAAAATAGGTTGGTTAAGTAATGTAGCCTATTTTGTAGATTTACGATTACCTTAACATCCTCTTATTCACATTATTCTTACTATCCAAAACAAAACCCATCCAGTCTCCTAATCCCAGTCCTGGATCCCTAAAGACCAATTGACTCTTAATGACTGTACCGTATAGAACTGGGAAAAGAAATAAGAAAACTGGAGAAGGAAAGAGCGTTGCAGGATTATCTTTGTAATCAGCATGCATCTAAGATCTCCCAATTGCAAGTGGAGTTGGCTCACAAGTCAGCAAAACTCACTGAGTGTAAAGGAGGAAGAACAAGAATGCTTGGACCAGGTAAATGAAAGTTTACAATCCTCTGTGCATGCTGTCTTTGCTTTGCGTCATCATAACATTTTAAACAGAGTTTTTGTCATAGTTTGTAATGATACCATCTTCATGAATGCTATATTTTCTGTGGGCTTTTATGACATAAAGTATCTGCTGATCATGTTGTCTTTGCCATAGATCTTGTTGACACCTCTCCTTACATTCTGTCTTTGTTATGGATCTTGTTGTCACTTTTCCTTCAATGCTATCATTGCTATGGATCTTGTTGAACCCTCTCCTTCAATTCTTGCTTTGCGATATATCTTGTTGACACCTTTCCTTCAATTTTGTCTTTGTCATAGATCTTGTTGACACCTCTCCTTCAATTCTGTTTTTGCCATAGATTTTGTTGGTACCTTTCCTTCAATGCTGCCATTGCTATGGATCTTGTTGACACCTTTCCTTGTATGCTGTCTTTACTGTTAATCTTGTTGACATATTTCCTTATAAAATATACATCTGTAACAGATTCTCAAAGGAAGAAAGATACTAGTAAAGTGGACAAAGATCAAATGCTGGATAAAGCCCAAGATAAGATAAACAGTTTGACAAGAGAAATCACAAAACTGAGAAGTGATCAACAACAGTTAGACGAGGTCATTGAGTGTCTTAAAAACAAGGTCTGTATGTTTTATTTTGTGTGTTTATTAGTTTGCATGAATGTTGCCCAAAAAATCATGTTTCCTCAATTTATGGAAAGGAAAAAACGATCAAGTTAACTTCAAAAACAGATTTACTGAGATTAAATATAAAACCTGATATTATTATTAAATGTCCACATTTTAGTCCCCAAACCAAAAACTTCCATTCAGACGGTCGACATATCATGTCTCGCAACCAGTATCCAATCTGTTCCCTAAGCTTCCAGTTTATTGTGTGTAATTTAACTGGTGGTGATTTGTAGGTGAACGCCAGAGACTCTGAGATAGAACGACTCAATAACTTGCTCTCAGACGGTTGACCCATCATGTCTCGCAACCAGTGTCCATGCTGTTCCCTCAGCTTCCAGTTTAGTGTGTATAGTTTACTGGTGGTGATTTGTAGGTGAACGCCAGAGACTCTGAGATAGAACGACTCAATAACTTGCTCTCAGACGGTTGACCCATCATGTCTCGCAACCAGTGTCCATGCTGTTCCCTCAGCTTCCAGTTTAGTGTGTATAGTTTACTGGTGGTGATTTGTAGGTGAACGCCAGAGACTCTGAGATAGAACGACTCAATAACTTGCTGTCTGACGGTCGACCCATCATGTCTCACAACCAGTGTCCATGCTGTTCCCTCAGCTTCCAGTTTAGTGTGTATAGTTTACTGGTGGTGATTTGTAGGTGAACGCCAGAGACTCTGAGATAGAACGACTCAATAACTTGCTGTCTGACGGTCGACCCATCATGTCTCGCAACCAGTGTCCATGCTGTTCCCCTCAGCTGCTGGACTGCAGACTACTGGCCAAGAACAAGGAGCTCTGTGACCAACTGGAAGGTAACTAGCACTAGGCCTGATTTCCCAAATAACCGCTTAAGACTAATCATAATTGACCCTCTGAGCCCACCCGCAAGACCATGTATCAGCCATCAAGAGTATCATAACATAACCAAACCTTCACTTACGATTTATTAAGTCAGAAAAACGCAACTAAAAGACTAATACCTCTAATAAGTAAAGGCTCAAAGGGTTAACATTAATTGCTTCTAAACTAGGGTTGCTTTCAGAGAGGTGAAAGCCAGTTGAGCGGAACAAACGTGATTTGATATTTGTATAAGTAACTAAATGCAAAAAGTTCAATAGATTTATTTACTAATGCTGGTTTTAAAGATTAAAATTATAATAATTCAAATTTACCTCTTCGAGAAGTGTAAGGTAGTTTTGACCAGGAAAATATTACAGTAGTTGGAATCTGATATTAACATCCAAAAGCGGCATTAAAGTATAAAAAAGAGAAAGGAAATTTTATCAACATTTGAAATGACTGAATTGTTTACCAAATAACTGTTTCACAAAATGCAGATTCCATTTTCAGCCGAGCCATTAAAATGAGGATTTGCCGAACAATTATTAATATTACAGAATAGTATATAATGATATACAACTTTTCACATTCCATAAATTATATGTTAGTTTTGCTATGGTCAAAGATCCAACACCAAATGTTCTCTTTTCTTTTGGTCAGTATGTAATAATTTGCTAGAATCATTGACTTTATATAAAGTCAAAGCTAGAATACTGTAGATGGTTTGTTAAGTTAAGACCATATGCAAGCATTTTTGAAATCGTTTCCCCGTTTAACCTTAACCAACTATTCCATTCCAAAAGATAAAAATTATATGGTGCAACACAAATAAACAACCCGATCACCTACCTATAACCTACACTTTACCTTCCTAATCTAACCTTACTTCAAAACACTTAATGTAGTCACGAATACTCATAAACCCCGACCTACCTCCCCACCTGCCTAAATTAGATCAGTGTTCAATCTGCGTTTTATCAATAAGTGTAATAACTTACTGTACCGTCGATGTAATTCAACTTAATATAACCTATGAGGTATTATCGGATTAAATACCGATTTCGATGCGGTTCGATATATCGCTTATTAAATCCTGATTTCTAACATTGGCTGTTTCTAATCAGCTGGCAACACAAATAGGTTCCCAAGAAAGTAGTCACCGGTCCGTATCCCTCCGCTCCTTATTTATGCTCCGCGCATTGAGAAAGTAGTTCCGTATAATTTCTCGATTTTCAGTGAATTCCGCGCCTTAAAAAATGTTTTAACGGCATTTTCTTGTTTATTAAAATTATAGGAATGGTTTAAAAACGTTTAAAAGAAAAGTATAGAAAGTTCAGAAATACCTTATGATTCTCTTGTTTACATTTTTCTTGTAAACAAAAAAACTGTCATAGCTACTTTAGTCCCATAAGCCTAATGTTAAAAATTTGAAATTTTAAGTTTGTTTTAAATTGCATTAGCATTATCTAATTGAAATTTGTTTGTTTACAAACCATCTCATTATTAGTCTAAGTAGTCTTGTTAAGTTTGGCTGAAATGTGTTCAGCCGTTATTGAGTGATGGTGTTATATTGTTTGCATTGAAGTTGATCCCAAAGAGCTTCGCTCGCTTCGCTCGCTCCGTTCAACTAGACTCATGAATGCATTTTCATAGTATCTTCTATATGCATTATTATCATTACAGTTCCTAGAATGAGGGGTGGCTAGTCTGATGATTAGATGCAGAACTTTTGTCTAAAAAGCCTGGAGTAAAAACCTGCTTATCTTCTAGAATTTAAGCTATGTATAATGTTGTATCCATTGTTTGGTAGCTTAACTTAAACTGAAGTTTTTCTAATCAATTAAAAATTTATTGATCTTAACTTCTTAGAATACCAGGTACAGAACCAGATTGGGTGTATGTCTTAAATAATAGTAGTGGACATCCTGTTACAATATCAAATAAAATTCCTTATTGCAGAAAGTAAGCAAAAGCAACACGAGGCAATGGTAAAAGCTGTTGAACTTGCAGAGCGCAACCAACTGTTAGAAAATCGTAATATTACTTCTGCTCGTAGCAACACCAGCCAAGGCAGCAAGCGCTGCTGTTGTGCCGAGAACTCCAATAAAATATGCAAGCTGCAGGTATGTAACAAACTGGTGGACAATGGTAACTTTTTTTAAAATTCCGTGTTGCATTCTTTTATTTAATACTTTTTATTCTTGCTATAAGATAAATATAATCTATGAAATAATCCTAACTAACACCGCCTACCGAGCGTCCAAAATGTAGCTGCTGTCATAGTTAATTATTAATTATTTCAGCTACTGCAGCTATTTTAATATTTAGTTGGGAATAACTTAACTATGATTTTTGATTTTTTTGTTATTCAATATTTTGATATTGAGAATCTTTGTAACACCTGACACAACAAAAAACAATTTTTTATTTGTTTGAGTTTTAAGTTAGTGGAAATAGTTTGTTAAATGCTCGCTGGACCTATAAAAGTGACTTCCAGAGTTAAGTCTGTCTCTATTGATATGTGTAACTACAGTGAAATTACAGTAATGGTTTGAAATTCAATGGAATTCGGTATTCAGGTAGGCCTACTAAACTGGAATACCGTCAGAGTGTTTTAAAAGTACTAGTGTACCTGGTACTCGAATTCAAGCAATTGGAAAGTATTACAGAAGTTATTTCAAAACGAATAATTTCCGATGAGTTTAAAAGAGTCATTTCAAAGATTATGTATGATGTAGAAAACAGTTTGATATAATCAACATTTCTTGTAAATATTTTATCATTTTTCAAATGCTGATCCTGTTTTTAGGATGGAGAGGACACAGCTAACTCACCTGATGAAAGGTTGCAGATGAGTCAAAGAACACATAAAATCACACACATAATTTACTTAATATTTCGCCTCTTTCAGAGGCTTCTTCAGAAGTAGGCCTAGATGGTAGTTACAAAACAACAGTTTAAATAGGATGACACAGTTTGAATTCAAAATGTCTGACAGGTTGTCCAACTGACACTGCACAAAGCACTAAATACAGGCACATTGCAATATTGTATTTACATATAATATGTACATTGAAAAGCAAATTAGTTTTGTCCATGAAAATAAATACTTAAGAGTTAGCTGTGAGGGTGAGGATATGAGGATATTATCTAATGTTGAGGTTAGGTGGGGTTCTGGAGTTGGTCACAAACTGGTAAGCTAATTCCCATCTTCTGAGCATTGAACTATTGCATTGGTTCTTTGGCAATGATTTTAGAGCTTTTATGGTGAAACAGTCATCAAATAGAAGTTGGTGGGATAAGGCATGTTGTGCAACTGGTTTTTCTTTGCTAGTTTTAACATCATGTCGATGGCCGTTCATGCGTTTTCGGAGAGTCTCGGTTGTTAGGCCTATGTACTGGGCTGGACAATGTGAACATTGAAGCTGGTAGATAAGGTTCTCTGAGCTGCAGGTATGATGGCCTTGGATTCTGTAATTTTTATTATGGTATGTGCTGGTAAAAGTTTCTGTAGGATGGTGTATCTGGCAAGATTTACATCGGTTTTCATTGCATGGGTATGAGCCCGGTCTTGGTTTCTCAGATGGTATTTTTGATGGATTTGGGAGTTTTGGGTGGACTAGCATATTCCTCAAATTTGGGGGTTGCCTATAGATTATGGAAGGGGCTCTTGAAAGGAGGTTTTTGGTTTGGCTGGAGGACTCTAGGATTTTGAAACCTGTTTTAAGGAGGTTGTTTAGTTGTTGCAGGCCAGGGTGGTAAGTGGTTATCAAATTTACTTGAAGATGGTTGGTATTTTTCTTTGTAGTTGGACGTGGGTTCTGAGCCGCTTGGATCTGAGATTTTACGAGAGTGCTAGGATAGCCTCGGTTTTCAAAGGCTTTTTGAAGTTGGGTTTGGTATTGTGTACGGTCTTTCGGTTCTGAAATTAGGCGATTTCCCCTTAGGGCAAGACTGTAAGGAAGTGATCTCTTGGTGTTATTCGGATGACAACTAGAAAAATGGAGGTATTGTTGGTGGTTGGTCGGTTTTATGTGGATAGATGTGGTGAGGCTATTGTTCCTTAGATGAATTGTAAGGTCTAAAAAGTTGATGGAAGTCTCAGAGAAATCCCAGGTGAAATTTAGCGGTCCAAAACTGTTGAGGTCTTCCAGGAACTTCCGTAGTGATTCTTCACCGTGGGTCCAAATTATGAAAATATCGTCAATGTATCTAAACCAGCAGATGGGGAGGTGTTCACGGCTAGACAAAAACTTTTCTTCATAATTCCCCATGTAGAGATTAGCATAAGATGGGGCCATTCTTGTACCCATGGCAGTGCCCTTGATCTGTAGGAAGTGTTTGTCCTGAAATTGGAAATAGTTCTTTTCCAGAATGAATTTTATCAGTTGAGTTATAAACGAAGTGGTGGGTAGGGATCCTTTGGGTCTGTTTTGAAGGTAGTTTTCTGTTGCTGTTAGGCCGTGGACATGAGGTATGTTTGTGTAGAGTGAGGTGACATCAATAGTGGCCATGAGAGTGTTAGCGGGGAGTGGTTGTCTGACATTGTTAAGTTTTTGCAAAAAATCATTGGAGTCCTTGATATATGAGGCCAAGTTTTGTACTAGCGGTTGTAGATAGGCGTCTACGTATGAAGAGATACGTTCCGTTAAAGAACCGCAGCCTGATACTATGGGCCTTCCTGGCGGTGGTGTTATGCCTTTGTGGATTTTTGGTAATATGTAGATTTTAGGGCAGATGGGTTCTTCTGGTATTAACAGATTTGTTGTTTCTGGGGAGATATTGTTGGATTTGGAGTGTTTGTAAATTATTTCCTTGAGTTCAGCGGTGTACTTTATAGTTGGATCTTCTTTCAGAGGGAGGTAGGTGGAAGAATCACTGAGCTGGCGTTGGATTTCTGACACACAATCAGATTTATTCATTATCACTGTGGTCGAGCCTTTGTCAGCTGGAAGGATCATGATATCAGTGTTTGATTTTAAAGTTGAAATGGCTTTTTTCTCGGCTTCGGTGAGGTTATGGAGTGTTGTGGAGGTTACGTTGTTTTCGAAAGTGGGATCTGAGATGTTTTGTACCAAGAAGTTGATGTATTGTTCTATCGGATGGTCTGCTGGTAACGGAGGGGGATCGAAGTCCGAGGGTGGAGCAAAATTCGCTAGAGAGGGCGCCACACTGTTGGATTTCGAGTTGTCTTGATCTTGTGAGTTGAAATAATGTTTGAGACGTAGGTTCCTAGCTAGCGACATGATGTCTTTAACTAGGCCAAAATGGTCAAAACGGGGTGTGGGACAAAAACTGAGACCCTTGGTCAAAACTGTTTTTTCTATTTCTGAGAGCTGGTGGTTGGATAAGTTGCAAACTTGTTGTTCATTTGTAGAGGTTTCAGGGTTGTTTGGGACAGAATTGCTCTTGAATGGGGAAGTAGGAATCTTCGGTGGTTTAGGTAGAAAGGGTTTTTGGCCTACTGGTATAGGTAGTCCTAAGAGGGAGGCCAGACAAGGCCTATCTGAGATTAGAGGAACCTGATGTGGTTGGGTTTGTTGGACTAGGCCTATAGATCCATATTGATGTATATGTTTGATACAAAGGTTAGAGAGTTTTCTGAGTTTTCTTTCAGCTTCTTTGTTCATATTAATTAAGGCTTTCTGTGCTATTGAATTGAGATTATCTGCTAGTTGTGGTTTGTCATTCAAAATCAGCTTTGTGAGGTCAGAAAGAGCCTTTCTGTGGTTATACATTTGTTCAGAGTACAGTTGTAGGACAGATTTAGTCAAATCTATTGATTGTTTGTAGGCTAGGGCTAATATAGCAGGCCACATATTAGGGGGCATGCCACTGATGGCTGGTTTTACAGTTAGGCCCACTGGAGTTAGGCCTAGAGTAAGGCAAGAACTCAGGAAATGTACATGACATATAATTTTTGATAATTTGAAAGCATGTTGTTTGGCTTGTTTTAGCCAAAAGGAAGATAGGTTCATAGTGGATAGGATAGTTGGACAGTAACACTAAGGAAAGAAAGGAGTAAAGGAAAGAGTGAAAAGATTTGTCACTTTAAGGTTATGTTTTTAGGAAAAAGCATTTAGCTTGGATTAAATAAATAAATATAGGATGGAGAGGACACAGCTAACTCACCTGATGAAAGGTTGCAGATGAGTCAAAGAACACATAAAATCACACACATAATTTACTTAATATTTCGCCTCTTTCAGAGGCTTCTTCAGAAGTAGGCCTAGATGGTAGTTACAAAACAACAGTTTAAATAGGATGACACAGTTTGAATTCAAAATGTCTGACAGGTTGTCCAACTGACACTGCACAAAGCACTAAATACAGGCACATTGCAATATTGTATTTACATATAATATGTACATTGAAAAGCAAATTAGTTTTGTCCATGAAAATAAATACTTAAGAGTTAGCTGTGAGGGACCCACGGTGAAGAATCACTACGGAAGTTCCTGGAAGACCTCAACAGTTTTGGACCGCTAAATTTCACCTGGGATTTCTCTGAGACTTCCATCAACTTTTTAGACCTTACAATTCATCTAAGGAACAATAGCCTCACCACATCTATCCACATAAAACCGACCAACCACCAACAATACCTCCATTTTTCTAGTTGTCATCCGAATAACACCAAGAGATCACTTCCTTACAGTCTTGCCCTAAGGGGAAATCGCCTAATTTCAGAACCGAAAGACCGTACACAATACCAAACCCAACTTCAAAAAGCCTTTGAAAACCGAGGCTATCCTAGCACTCTCGTAAAATCTCAGATCCAAGCGGCTCAGAACCCACGTCCAACTACAAAGAAAAATACCAACCATCTTCAAGTAAATTTGATAACCACTTACCACCCTGGCCTGCAACAACTAAACAACCTCCTTAAAACAGGTTTCAAAATCCTAGAGTCCTCCAGCCAAACCAAAAACCTCCTTTCAAGAGCCCCTTCCATAATCTATAGGCAACCCCCAAATTTGAGGAATATGCTAGTCCACCCAAAACTCCCAAATCCATCAAAAATACCATCTGAGAAACCAAGACCGGGCTCATACCCATGCAATGAAAACCGATGTAAATCTTGCCAGATACACCATCCTACAGAAACTTTTACCAGCACATACCATAATAAAAATTACAGAATCCAAGGCCATCATACCTGCAGCTCAGAGAACCTTATCTACCAGCTTCAATGTTCACATTGTCCAGCCCAGTACATAGGCCTAACAACCGAGACTCTCCGAAAACGCATGAACGGCCATCGACATGATGTTAAAACTAGCAAAGAAAAACCAGTTGCACAACATGCCTTATCCCACCAACTTCTATTTGATGACTGTTTCACCATAAAAGCTCTAAAATCATTGCCAAAGAACCAATGCAATAGTTCAATGCTCAGAAGATGGGAATTAGCTTACCAGTTTGTGACCAACTCCAGAACCCCACCTAACCTCAACATTAGATAATATCCTCATATCCTCACCCTCACAGCTAACTCTTAAGTATTTATTTTCATGGACAAAACTAATTTGCTTTTCAATGTACATATTATATGTAAATACAATATTGCAATGTGCCTGTATTTAGTGCTTTGTGCAGTGTCAGTTGGACAACCTGTCAGACATTTTGAATTCAAACTGTGTCATCCTATTTAAACTGTTGTTTTGTAACTACCATCTAGGCCTACTTCTGAAGAAGCCTCTGAAAGAGGCGAAATATTAAGTAAATTATGTGTGTGATTTTATGTGTTCTTTGACTCATCTGCAACCTTTCATCAGGTGAGTTAGCTGTGTCCTCTCCATCCTATATTTATTTATTTAATCCAAGCTAAATGCTTTTTCCTAAAAACATGATCCTGTTTTTAGCGTTTTCTACAAATGTTTCCCACTTATAGCCGCATTAGGTTCTTCATGTTTATCTTTGTCATAGATAATGTTGCCTGCATGGTACTACCATTTTTCGTCAGTATGTGTACAAATTTCAGTCATTTTTTTAAATAGCGATAACATTTGTTCACATTAGGCCTACTTAAGAACTACCTGATTTCCTGCATAATACCTTTGATCAATAAAAGGTTGCACACATTTTTACCACAAACAAAATAAATAACTACATTACTGTAAAACAATAGTAAAGACGTTATACATTTTGTTAATTTCCACTAAGTGAATTATTTTTTTTTGTGTTGGAAAAAGTAAACACAAAATACTTAGAATATTTCACGATTGCTGACTGACAAAATTCCAACAAAGGAAGGTTTGACTTTGGAAAACAGTTGAAGTTGCTTCTTCCCAACTCGAACCTTGCTTGGTTGGAAATGCTGTCAGTGACAGTGGACTCTTTCTATTCAAGTAAGCCTGATATTCTAACAAATATCATTTGAATCCTTTTCTGTGTTATATTGTTGACCGCAAACTTAGTGAAATATTGATTAGTCTACATAGCCCATGTTTGGTGTGTATTGTAATATGAACAAATCAATCATTTAATTCAACTTATTATTTTACAAATGTATTCGGAAACTAAAAATGTGATTTTATGTCCATAACTGCAGAAAAACGGTTCAAATGGGTTAATGGCTTTAGGGTGGAGGATATGTTTAAGTTTTTTAGCGAATTTCCCTATAGGGAAGTAGCTATTACCGTAGGTCTCATGGTAAGACTTAGGCCCAGGACCGATTTACTTTTTCATTTTGATGTCCCCAGAGGCCAAAAACACCATTCGTTCAAATTTTTATATATGTATATATATATGTGTCCGTGAACACGATAACTTGAGTAATTTTTATCCGATTTTGATGAAATTTGGTTTGAAGGTGTAAGGCGGGATAAACTTGAATGAGTTCGCGATCCAGCATGATCGGACCATGGGAACAGGGTTTTATGGGGGGTTTTATGGGGTAAAAATTGGTTTTTCTCACTTTTGACCCTCAAAACACAAAATTTCCCAATTTTTCTCTAAACCTTCTTAAAGAGCTTAAAAAAACAAACAATTCAGTATATCAAAGTGTTTTTGTACGGTTATTGGTTACGGAAAAAACTAAAAAAATTGTAAATTTAGAATTCCCACGTTATTCTTATGGAGAATATTGTAAAATGTTGTAGTTTGCTTGTTTATGGATATCTTTTGATCAAACTTGGCAAATATATTCATTTTCTACTAAGCAATAATTATTTTACTTAAAACACACACTTTATTAGTTTCCTTGTAGCAGCAAACCTAGGTACTCGTTAAACCTAATGTTATTTAAATAGATCGATTGAAAATCAATTCAGCCAAATAGAAATTCGCTTAGACGGCAGGTTTGCTGCGGCGGGGGTATTTTTTTACTGGTTTTTGTATTGTATTGTAGGAGAAACTAGAAGAGAGAATCCTGCAAGTGGAGAAACTGGAGCAGGAGTTGAGTGAGTTACGCAAAGCTCACTCGGACCTTCGCTCGGACAAGATGAGTGTTGACAAAATATTGGAGATCACTTTGGAGGATAAAAAGAAGATGAATGATCGAGTCAATGAACTCACTATGATTGGTAAGCTGATTGTACTAGGCTAGGCTTAGGTACCCATTCTTAACTGTATTTTCTTGTAGAGATACCACACAAGTGCTACATCTCACATAATTTTTCAACTCATTCTGCATAACTCCTTGTTACCCTTCAAGTTTTAGTCTCAGTGTGAACAAGACAAATGCCTGGGTGGGTTTGATTATTGCTTTATCTAATATTTTGCTGTTACAGTAAAGGTGATTTTACTTTAGCTTATTTTTTAATCTGGCGTCCACCGCTTGAAGCACCGTGTAGTTAAGGCACACGCGCTACATAACTACACGGCACTCCTAGCGGTGGACGCCAGAACATATGCTAACCGCAGCACTGCTGTCGGTCTATATTTAATTATATTTGTCTATTGTTATACCTCTTCATCATTGATTCGATTATTAAACTTTTATGCAGAAGTTTTCATTGTTTGTATATAATTTTTAAATTCATACAAAAGTTTGGGTTACTATTTTCTGTGTTATTAGTTCAGATAATCCATACTTACCTGTAACTGTACAGTGAACATTTTAAATTGCTGATCTATTTTGTAGTAGTTTAGAAAACACATCAGTCTCATTAACTTCTCATAACAACATTTTGGGAAAAATATTCTTCTAGAGGTTATACTGATTCTACATGACTAAAATTCAAATGTTAACAAGTAAAGGCATCCATTTATTTTTGAGAAAATATAGTTAAAGTTGTTTTCTGAGTCAAAATAGTTATTTGTGTAACTAGTGGGCGAAGTGGGACTTTGCTGCATACGAGAGAAATGTTTACACACAAGCCGTAGGCAAATGTGTAAAGTTTCTCAAGTGCAGCAAAGGCAGTTTGCACTCATGTTATACATTATACTTTTCCTACAGTTACTATAAATCATGTAAATATAATATAATTATTAGTCTTTTAAAAACTGTACAACACGTTTTTAAGATAGGTTAAATACTAACATTGAACAAAATGGGAAACGCCGCAAATCATGTAAATAATTATTACGGAAAGTAAATAAAGAAACGTCTTATAACACTTAAAACATATATTTACGCTTATACTGTTACTCACTGTTTAATAACACGTACAATGCTGATCAAGAAGTTATTTAATAATTATTATTAGTCTTTCAAACACAGTATAACATGTTTTTGAGTTAGGTGAAATCCTAACATTGAACGAAATGAGAAACGCTGCACCAGCTGATCGTAGTCAGAATATCTTTAAGTGTTGCCAACTTATTTTCAAGCGTACACGGATTACGTGCATAATAAAAGCACGCTGTTTTGTGTTGTTTCGTTGGAATACTGGTTTGTGCCAAAGAAAAACTATACGCCAAAGTAAAAACTGTGTGCCAAAGTGAGGCTTTCTGTACTATAATCTGTGCAAGGAAGCCCACTTTGTTGGATGACTGTAGGAAAAAGCTTCTTTTTTTATAGGCTAATGAAACTTGTTGAAAGCTTAACCTATTAAATAATGTGAATAATGGTAATTTATACCCATTAATATGTAGGTATATTTACTGCATAAATAGGCGTTGGTTTTGATTGTTAAAATGAAAAATCTTTTCCCTTCAGGTATTTCTTTATTTTCACTTCAGGCATTGAAAATAAACAATGAAATACAGTAGGAAAACCTTCAAGCGTTACAATAACTGTACAATTAAGTGATATGGCTTTAAAACATTCCTAAAACACATATAGACCTATTTAACATTGAATTGTTCTAGAGCATGATTTAATGCTGGAAATTGAGAGGCTAAAACGAACCAACGCTACACAGAAGAGTCAGTTAGCGGAACTTGAGGCACAGGTGCAGATGCCTGGGCCAACCAACACTGGCGGCCGTGCCAAGACAGCTAAACCTACATATGGTGGTTTGTTATCTCTGTTTTATTTCAACAAATGTATTATTAAAATTCTTTCAAACAATTTTATAATTTTTCTCTTTCAAATCAATTCTTTCTTTAACTTGCTACTAACATTTAACAGTACTCATGTTGTGGACTCATCATAGTTAGTTATTAGTGGCAATCATATATTATGTTACCGGCAAAGAACTTGATCCCCACATTTTATGGAAAAGCCTCTAGATATCCTGTACATTTCCTAAAGCTTTAAGGCAAAGTAAGAAATAGAGTAAAAATAATAGGAATTTCAATTTATTCACTTTGACTAGGTGATGTGTATGATTCCTAGGCATTAACTATAAGTAGCTATTATTCATGTTGTTTATAGAATGTCCTGTGTCAGAAAAAATATTAAAAAATGAAATTTGTACACAAATAATTTGCTAAATGGTATTAAAATATTTTGTGTATAGTTAGGTTGGTTTAGTTAAGATTAGATTAGTTAATGCTGAACAAGGAAACAAAAGTCTAAAGTCCTGCAAGCATATTTTATACTTGACCTGTTAGTGCCTGGGCTTTCTGTAAAATCACTAGGCAAAGTATATAAATGGGATTTATTTCATACTTAACCTGACACATTTTGGAAATCTATAGATTACCCAGGCAATCAATAAAATACAGTCAAACCCTAACTAACCAAATTAAAAGGGACAAAGCAGTTTTGGATGACTTTTCCCCCTGGTTAGTTAGTAATAAATATCTGCAATAGTAGATTTGTATGTTATTTAATTGCTTTTGTTGTTTAATTTTGTTGTGTTTACACTGTAAAATCTTCAACAGTAAAAGCAAAATCTGTTTTTTCAAATAATCGATTGCCATTTTCTGAACTTTATCTATATCTCGGTATGAGATCCATGTTGTTGTCGTAAACTCTGTTACATTCCATTGACCTATCCGGACCAACTACTGGTAAGACGGCAGACTATTCCCATTATCTAGCTCAATTTCCTATTGATTTGATTTTTTAAGATGGTTTCAGTTAACCCGGGTCTTGATTTAACACCATGTGGTTAAAAGGGTTTATATACTTACTGCTGATAATATACTTAACCGGTAACATACATGCATATTTTTTCACATTTACTAAGCTATTGTTATGTGTTAAGGTGCAACATAGTATGATTACATGTCTATTTTCCCTCCAGGAACATCACGGACACAAGATGTCCGCAGACCAGCTCAGCCAGTACACAAGAAGGTGACCATCAGTAAACCCACACCTGTACCTCCCAAACCTTCGAGAGTTCCACCCAAGAAGCCGAGCGCTCGAGTCCCCGAGACTACAACGGACACTTCTACTCTGTCGTCTAGTGGACCTGCCAGAGCTGTCCCTCCCCCCTCTATCTCCACCTCGCCCTCTCCTCCCCCCGACCTGAGAGATCAGCTGACCCGGGAGAGGAGACAGTTCCAACAACAGCTGGAGGACTTGGAGCGTCAACAGGCAGAACACTGTGCCAAGTTTCATCCCCCAGCGTGTCCTCGGTCTACCAGGGGTGAATCTGCGGTGAGTATCAATCAATAGGCTAAAATAATTATTTATAAAAGTATAAAGTATAAATGTGTACACATAAAGGTGTCAAAGTTGGGGAGCAGTATCAGTTAAACTGAGTAACTTGAAATATGAATTATACTATAGGTTTTGGTTTAAAAATGGTTTTCTAATGGATGTAACATAGAGCACAAGAGCTCAGGTCTTAGGTTATTTTTTGTGAGGATAGTAGGCTTACCTAATGGGTAAGAGTCCAAACTGGCACAAGAAACACAATACTTAATACATTACACAAAACAGAATATTTGACTGTCACTGATAGCATTTTCAGCTAAGGAAGGTATGAATACAAAACTTCATAAAAGTATTTCAAAGGGGCTTTAAGTTATTAATGATAAATTTAAAATTAAAAAATTACTACCTACGGCTAAAACATGTTGAAATAAAAAAAATACCACACTTCTTGACTTTTTTATTTTTTGTATGCATAATCTGGTTCTGCATAGCCCGCTTCAAATTTTGTGACACCCTGTACAGTTAAAATTTCTAGTTAATGTTCGTAAAATGAAGCAGTTATAAAGGAAACATCTATTACTTGTGTTATATTTTGTTATAGAATGAAGCAGACGGACAGTGGCTGCTACTAGAACGAGTGCAAGCTGAGAGAGATTACTATCACAAAGAGTTCTCCAGACTTAGAGATCAGCTGTGCAACATACCTGACCATTCAGCTGAGGTAGGAATTATAATCAGCTGATCAAGTTGTTATAAATTAAACTTCACTAGTTTTACTACATTTGGATGAGGCCGTGTTTACACTACATAACTTGTTTTAGAAACTTGTGTTACATTGCCAAATTATAATCATTGATTTTAAACATGTTTAAGAATGCAATGAAAAATATTAAACAAAGCTGTACAACAATCATGTGTCACAACCATCGGTCATACCGATGATGACGGAGGGTGAAGACAATTGGACCTGTGTGTCACATTACATCCAGGGTATTCTCCGCGCCATGAAGCTCGACCTTGCCCGGGATGCGGTGTAGGTCATGAAGTATCCAAATGCCAAAAACGGTGAGAGCCCTGAGGGCTTAGGTCACATGTTGGCCTGACTTGAAGTAATGTGAGAAACAATTCCAGGTCTGTGTCCAACAGAGTAGAGGGGGATTTTAGTGAGTAGTCTGTGATAGATTCAGGAGTCTCACACTACAGTTCGGCCAAAACTTCTGTGCGCGTGGACGGGTTGCTACTAGCCGAACTAAAACATACGGGTACCGGCTATTAGCAGTGCTAGGGGTTGTGGCGAGTGAGTAGGAAGACACAAATGTTTTCACAAAAGTACCCCCGCCAACCCCCTCGCCTAGACTCAACCAGATCTGGTCGCACGAACAGAAACTTTGGCCAAACTGTACAGGCTGGCTACCTGTGTGCGTAAAAGCATTTTCCCTCCTCTCCCTAAAAAAAAAACCATCTATGATAGTTGAAGTGAAATAAAATATGCTACAAGCTATAGTCATTACATACTATTTAATAACGAGTTGTTCTTTCGGCTTAGCTTAGTTCATTTGGCGTAAGTGACAGCCAAGTTAGTTAATTGACAAAAGCACTATCTGTCACCACAGGCTAAATCCAAATACTTTTTAAATCTGAAAGTGACTATAGTTTTAACATTCTGTGGGATTACTACTTTTTGGTAGTGTATCCACAGTCAACGCTATTGTTTTGATAAGTTATGCTTTTTAGAGTATTAAAATTTAAATTTGCCATCTTGTTTTTATCTTTGAAAATTCATTTTTGTCAGGTGATTTTAGTGGTCTCAGGTCAGACTGTTTTACTTTAGGTGAGTAAGTTACTTTGGCCTTGGGTCTCAGGCAAAATCAGGTTGCTTTGGAACGTATTGATTTTTTAGAGTATTATTGAAATACTACAATCGGTTTATACAATGTTATACAATCTCCCCATTTCACAGTGAGATCAAGAACGTCTTCTCTGGTTATGCAAAAATTGAGACCATCATTTGCAGATACAGCAAAATTGTCAAAGTCACCCGTGTTCGCCCATCTTCATGGACACTTTCTGTGATCGGGGAAATAAATGCTCAGCTTGACTTGTCCTTACCCAAAATTTCAGGGACCCGCAGTCCACTAGTGATATTCTATGTATTGTTATTATGAAACTTCAATTTCATTTTTTTTGGCCTGAATCCGTTGATATAAAAAGACATTTTGTATGAAACCCATTTAAGGGAAAGCTGTCCAAATCTCTCAAATGTTTTTTTTTTGTTATACCAAGGATTGAACCCCAGGGTGGCCATAGACTGGAAATTCAGAGAAATTCGGGATCATGTGTGAATTTGTTGTATCCAAATAAACTGGGAATCATACAAGAATTAAGAAAATTCCCCAAGAAACCATGATATTAGTCTGCGGTCACAGCAAATTCGTAAACTTCTACGGTTACAGCAAAATTAAAATTAAGAACATCTTCCTCAGTGACGGCAAAATCATAAACATATTCCACAGTCATGACAAAATCGTAAACACCTTCCATGGTCAGGGCAAAATAAAAAATACTTTCCTGGGTCACGCCATAATCGTGAATATCTTCCACAGTCATGGCAAAATTGTGAACATTTTTACGATCATGGGGACATCATAGTCTCCCAAAATCAGGGGGGGGGGGAATCATCAATTTTTGATTGTGCATGTTTTTAAAAGCTTTCCACGCTCAGGAATATATGTGCTTGGCCCTTGTGACCGGGAAAAACAGCTACTGGTAAAACCAGGAAAACAACCTCAACAAGACACAGTCTAGTCAGTCAGCTATAAGTATGAAAACTCTAACCACTAGGCTGACTGTTTGTTAGTTGCAGGCCAGCACTGGACCATCCTCCCCACATCAGAAGCTAGAGAGGTTGTTGACAGAGAGGGACTACTACCACAAGGAGATGTGTCGTTTGCTAGACATCCTAAACAAGACACAGTCTAGTCAGTCAGCTATAAGTCTGAAACTCTAGGCTTACTGTTTGTTAGTTGCAGGCCAGCACTGGACCATCCTCCCCACATCAGAAGCTAGAGCGGTTGTTGACAGAGAGGGACTACTACCACAAGGAGATGTGTCGTCTGCTAGACATCCTAAACAAGACACAGTCAAATCAGTCAGCTATAAGTATGAAACTCTAACCACTAGGCTGACTGTTTGTTAGTTGCAGGCCAGCACTGGACCATGCTCCCCACATCAGAAGCTAGAGCGGTTGTTGACAGAGAGGGACTACTACCACAAGGAGATGTGTCGTCTGCTAGACATCCTAAACAAGACACAGTCTAGTCAGTCAGCTATAAGTCTTAAACTTTAGGCTGACTGTTTGTTAGTTGCAGGCCAGCACTGAACCATCCTCTTCACATCAGAAGCTAGAGACGTTGTTGACAGAGAGGGACTACTACCACAAGGTGATGTGTCGTCTGCTAGACATCCTAAACAAGACACGGTCTAATCAGTCAGCTATAAGTATGAAACTCTAACCACTAGGCTGACTGTTTGTTAGTTGCAGGCCAGCACTGGACCATCCTCCCCACATCAGAAGCTAGAGAGGTTGTTGACAGAGAGGGACTACTACCACAAGGAGATGTGTCGTCTGCTAGACATCCTAAACAAGACACGGTCTAGTCAGTCAGCTATAAGTATGAAACTCTAACCACTTGGCTGACTGTTTGTTAGTTGCAGGCCAGCACTGGGCCATCCTCCCCACATCAGAAGCTAGAGCGGTTGTTGACAGAGAGGGACTACTACCACAAGGAGATGTGTCGTCTGCTAGACATCCTAAACAAGACACAGTCAAATCAGTCAGCTATAAGTATGAAACTCTAACCACTAGGCTGACTGTTTGTTAGTTGCAGGCCAGCACTGGACCATCCTCCCCACATCAGAAGCTAGAGAGGTTGTTGACAGAGAGGGACTACTACCACAAGGAGATGTGTCGTCTGCTAGACATCCTAAACAAGACACAGTCAAATCAGTCAGCTATAAGTATGAAACTCTAACCACTAGGCTGACTGTTTGTTAGTTGCAGGCCAGCACTGGACCATCCTCCCCACATCAGAAGCTAGAGAGGTTGTTGACAGAGAGGGACTACTACCACAAGGAGATGTGTCGTCTGCTAGACATCCTAAACAAGACACAGTCTAGTCAGTCAGCTATAAGTCTTAAACTTTAGGCTGACTGTTTGTTAGTTGCAGGCCAGCACTGAACCATCCTCTTCACATCAGAAGCTAGAGAGGTTTTTGACAGAGAGGGACAACTACCACAAGGAGATGTGTCGTCTGCTAGACATCCTAAACAAGACACAGTCTAGTCAGTCAGCTATAAGTATGAAACTCTAACCACTAGGCTGACTGTTTGTTAGTTGCAGGCCAGCACTGGACCATCCTCCCCACATCAGAAGCTAGAGAGGTTGTTGACAGAGAGGGACTACTACCACAAGGAGATGTGTCGTCTGCTAGACATCCTAAACAAGACACAGTCAAATCAGTCAGCTGTAAGTGACCAACGACCTCCTTGTTGCCAGAAGAATAACTGCTATTGCATGTCTTGAATTGTCATAATACATGCGGTCATATACTTGTTGTGTTATTTTTGTGTATTTTATGTCAGTTAAACTGTGGAAGAAGGATACACAACTAACTTATCCAAGAAGAGAGAGATCCAGGCAGTTGAGATAGCCCATAAAAGTTCAAACCACAATTTATTTTATATTTATTCTTATAAAGAGGCTTTGTCAGAAAGCAGTAGTCAAACAGCAGTTACAATATTAACCATGTAAAGAAAAAACTCAGACTTTGACTCTCATATATTTAAATATTATATTTAAATATATTTACTCCTTGCAATGCTCTTTAATGAATTCTTTACAAATGTTGGTTGCCCCTAGGTTGGAAGAACTCTAGAAAATAAAAATATCAGACAGAGCTTTTTGGCAGTGGAAGCTTGATGTTAATGAAAAATATGAGTGGACCCTGCAAAATATAAATATTCCCCAAAGGTCCTTAGGGGACGCCCCTGGCACTGTTTGTAGTTCTTCCAATAAAGTAATACCTTTAATGAGATCAATTTACCAGTCTTAATTCTACACTGAATTTACTTGCTCACTACTACACTAGTGACTAGTGTTGCACTTAAAAGGTGAATCTTTTGTAGTGGCTTATGATTTACTGAATTACCTTTTGTTTACCAAATACTATTGCATATGCTAAAATACCAAGGTTATTGAGAACTAGAAGTGAGTAACAATTTGAATTTATTGCACAGAATTTAATAATACACTTATTTCAGATTACAGTCGTTGTTGTGTTCTTTCAAGTAAAAATGACCTTGAGATACACAATCAGTTGGAAATTTATTGAAACTGTTGAATGGATTTATCAAAGGGGAGGTATGGTGCGGTTTCACACCGATCTCGAAAGTATCAATGGAAGAGTGGTATTTAATCTAATGGTTGAGATGACCTGTACCAAGCAAATCCTTTCGTTGGCCAACGATTAAAAACGAAGGTCGTCTCGCAGTCCAACTGATTGAACAATATTGTATTCAATCGTAGTAATGTTTATCAGAATGTTGCTTTATTATTTTATAGCTAATTTGGCACTTTGGTGGTTCATCTATGTTCAAACTGGCACAACTTCCAACAACACTTCCGCATCAATCGAACCAGCTACCTGCTCCCTTCTCTGATAATAATTTGTTTCCCCCAAAAGATACTGACTGTGACACTCTTTAAAAGAATTGTACCATTTGCTCAACAATGAAAATTAACAATGACTCTGTGTAAAATTCCAACACTATAAAAATCTTATTAAATAACTCTGAATTGCCCTATAAAAACATTTTTACCTATTTATTCTTAATACTATAGGGTTGTTACAATCTAATTAATAAAGCGGATTGCTACAATATGAATGGATGTGAAAATCAGTGATTTGATTTTGAACCTATGAACATGTGCTTACTCTGCATGAAATGACAAAACAAGACAGGAAAAATTTTCAAAGGTGCGACTCACTGAAATCTTAAATTAACAAATAAATAACACAAATTACTTACAGTTTGGACGTCCACAAATATGACACAAATAAAGGGGAAGGGATTGGGAAATGTAACTAGCCGGTATTCTACAAGATGCGATCAATTGAACTCGTGAAACGAACGTGTAATTTTCAAATGGCGGAACTGCGTTGGCCGGTAACGAACTTTTTCACTTTCTAACAATGACACTGATACTAATTTCCAATCGCGGGGCAATTATATCCCTTAGGGATATAGGCTGTACGATTTTAAGGAAAAATAAGATTGCCCGACCAAACGCCGCGAAATGAATTTAATTTCCACGAACGAAAAACAATTTTACCGAACTAGCTACGATGAGATTTGGATAGGAACTGAGTACTGCTGGAAACAAGTGACCATCCGGCTAGACCTTATCCCCTCTCCTTCTTTGGTGCGTGGTGCATTCTGGTCTATACTGATCTATTGTTGAAACCAGCTGACTGTTCTTCGCGTTAACTTGTATTGATTTGTTGCCTTTTACAACAAAATCGGTACAAAATGCCCCCTAGCAGAAAAAAATGATCCGTGATCGGCCTAGGACAGTCCAACCTATCGTACTACCTCGGAGCATTTTTGGTCTAGCCGGTGGACCACGACGATACACATGAACACAATTACAATTTACAATCAACAATAACGACAACAATCAGGCAACAACAATTTAAATTATGGTAACAAGAATACTAAACTATAACAATGATCTATTTTATAACAAAGATACCAACTGATCATTTCCCTCATTGAACACACAAAGGCATCCCGCGCACAGAATAGCATTTTGGTGTATCACCAAGGTGACCACCCGCAGAGTGTGTTGTCAGAAGTGGTGAACAGCTGGGCTCGTAGCTTGTTATGGTGTGGCACAGTTGCAGTGGCTCTAGTAGGTCAGTAGCACAGCGACCCAACGATGGTCCGATAGTAGTGTTGTCAGCTGGGGAGGGTGGGGCGGGCGCTCAACAATGCTATCAGTGGCACCAGCGATAACAATGTTATGATGGTCAGTCCAAACATCGCACGGCCTCCTCGATTGCATCACCAACACAACACTTGTTGATTTACTCCACTGTTTGTCCACTTACAACTTATTTCTAATTACAATTTTTGTTACGTTACCACATTTAAACATTTAAACACATGCAAAACAATACGATACAATACAATACACCTACCGCTGATAATACTTTTTCAATTGGCATACATGAACTACTCGATTTATGCTGGGATCCTCGACTAATTCAATTCTGACATTTACTGGACTTAACACATTAGTTACGACGTAAGGACCTTTCCATGTTTGAGTCAATTTGTGCGATACCTCGTTGGCTTTATTACTTGGTATATACCTTTTATATAATACCAAATCGTTTTCTTTGAACGGCGAAGGATTCCTGTTTTTATTATACCTTGCGCTACTTTTGCGATGGGCAGATTTAATATTATCGACGATTTTCGCAATACAATCCTCTGTGACTTCGGTATCGTTTTCCTGATCGATATCCCACTGCAATTGTAATGGATGGTTGATTTCTCGTCCTAAGAAAATTCGCGCAGGCGTCGCTTTGGTTGTTTCATGGACGGCTGAATTTAAACCCATGTTTAAATATGCGATATTTTCATCCCAGCGTTTTTGTGTTTGCGAATGGAATATTTTTAACGCTATTTTCAGGTTTCGATTTACTCTTTCTGACTGATTTGAGTTTGGCCTAGCTACAGAAGTATTGATGTGTTTTATTCCTAAGCTGAATAGAAAACTTTTAAACATTTCAGACTTAAAAATAGATGCGTTGTCAGATACAATTATTTCTGGGAAACCATGTTGGGTGAAAATTTTTTCTTTTAGCGCAGCAATGATTGTTTTGGAATTCGCCTTTTTTAATGGAATAATCCAACTGAACTTCGAAAATGTATCAACACACACTAATGCATACATATTTCCATTTGCGGTTCGTATTAATGGTCCAAAGGTATCGATGTGCAGCCTCTCAAAGCATCTTTCGGGAGGTTTAGAATTCATCAGGCCAATATTTAGCGCTTGAGCTGGTTTAGACAGCTGACAAAGGCTACATGACCTGACAAATTGCTTAACCTCGTCGAAGATTTTCTCCCAAGTGAATTCGCGTGTGATTCGCCCGATAGTCTTTTTTATTCCCAAGTGAGCGGATATTGAAATGTCGTGAAAATATTTCATTAGCATTTTCCTCATTTGAGTCGGAACGACGATTTTAGACGGATTTCTGGGGTTTTTTTGATAACGTAGTATACCCTTTTTTATGAAATAATTTGGTACGTCGATTCCATCTTCGATGTTATTTATAATATTGAGGAGCTGTGGATCTTCGCGTTGTTTCGAACTCAGTGACTCAAAAGTTTCAGGGAAGTGTTGTAGAAAGAAGACTTGTTCGGGGACAACATCATTTTGTGATGTGGGAGTTTTAGTCTGCTTTTGTTTGTTGACTTTGACTCGGTCGGGGCCAACGTCGCTTTGTGGCGCTGGGGTTTTAGTCTGTTGTGGTTCATTGACTTCAAACATCCGGCTTAGAGCGTCGCTTACTATGTTTTGTGTGCCCCTACAATGCTCGATTTTTTCGCATGGAAATTGTGAAAATCGTAGCTTCCAACGCGCTAACATACCAGTAGTCTTGTCCGAACCCATAACATATGTTACAGCCATACAATCTGTTTTGAGGATGAATGGGTTATCAGTAAGGTAATCTTTGAATTTTTCTAGGCCGTACAATACAGCGGCAAATTCCTTCAAATACATGCTGTATTTCAATTGAGCACCTGAGAACGTTTTGCTGGCAAAAGCAATTGGAACATTATTGCCGTTAATTTCCTGTTCCAAGACAATTCCTACGGCGTTTTCACTTGCGTCACACGACACAATAAATTTTTTCGACCAGTCTGGCAAATGAAGTACGACGGGCGAGGACAATGTTTGCTTTATTTTGTCGAAACTAGATTGTTGATCGGGACCCCACCTGAATCTTACGCCTTTCTTTTTCAAGTAGTTCAATGGTCTACTGATTTCGGAGAAATTAGGTATGAACTTGGCATAAAAAGCAGCCATGCCGATAAATCGTTGTACACCCTTTAAATTGCGTGGTCGAGGAAAATTACTAATAACCTCAGCTTTAGTATCGTCCACATATAGTTTACCATCCTTTACTATGTGTGACAGGAAACGCATGCCCCTCTTTGCCAAGGTGACTTTGCTGGGTTTGATCGTAAGTCCGGCGGCTCTTAGACGTTCCAAAACCATTTTCAAGTCATTGTAATGGTCCTGTGGGTTTGCGCTATAAATGCAGAGGTCGTCGACAAAGTTTATTACACATTTAAATTTTAAGTCTCCTAGCATTTCGTCGACTATGCGTCCTAACACCTGGCTGCCGATTTTTATTCCTTGGGGACAAGTACGAGGCTGATATAAGGCAT